TAGCTCCAAAACAAACACCACTAGTTGTCTTCATCTTTGTAAACTGACAATCATGATGGAACAGGGCGCTCATACCTGCTGTAAGATTGGAGACATAGCAAGGTGCCTGACAATACAGTGTTTTAAAGGAAAACAAAGACCCATTTATACTCCTATTACGTAAAGCACAGATAGGTCTGATCTGTATTCATTGTGGGGGGCTGAAGTGCAGCAAGGATACACAATGCCATTTGCGTAGTTTACGATCCAATTGTCTGAAAGCTCCTCAGCATCCCTGAGTGTTTGGCTTTTGTATAAAAAGGACCATTTACTTCACAGTCGACAATGAAACCTATTAAGTCTCTGCAGAAAACATTCAGACACACTGAAAAAACAGTGACCTTCAGCCTGTAACAGTCCGCTCTACAGCATATCCTTGTAAACCATCTCGATCAGTGATTCTCAACTGGTAGGTCTGGGTGGGTACGGACAGCTGGACATTAATAAATAAATAAATAATATATAACGTGCGCCTCAGGTTGGACTTGTTTTTTTATATTGAAGAAAAAAAAACGACCATAGTTTGGCGGACTGAAGACATGTCTGGTAATATAAAGCAACAGACCACAGCCCGCGTCCAGGCAAGCCCTTACTACGCCTTACAGATGGACAAATCCACAGATATCGCTAACCATGCCATTTTACTGGTTTATGTGAGACATGTGTGGGACAGTGATTTGCAAGAACAATTTGTCTGCAGCAGAGACCTCCCTACCACTACAAAGGCAAAAGACATTTTTAACTGGACTTGTATTTGAGCTCATTGGGCCTCAGCTGGGAATACTGTGTGGTGAATACTGATGGCGCTGCCTCCATGACCGGGAAACATTCAGGTGTTGAGAAGTGAATTCAGGAGAGGGCACCTAACGCGACGTGGAACCACTGCTTTTTGCACCGAGAAGCATTGGCGGCTAAGAATATGGTATCTGTGCTTGATGAAACTTTAATAAATGTCATCAAAGTGGTGAACCACATAAAACGGAATGTGAAAAATTGCCGCTGCTTTTCAAATCTGTGTAAAGACTTGGGTTCTGAGCACATGCATGTGCTTTATCACTCAGAAGTCCGCTGGCTGTCGAGGGACAAGGTGTTGTCACGCTTTTACAAACTTAAATCAGAAATCACCACATTCCTCTCAGAGACTAACTCCCTGAATGCAGAACTGTTTGACAACAAAATCTGGCTCACACAAGTTGCATATTTTGCTGATGTGTTTGTACACCTCAACACACTGAATGTATCGATGCAAGGGAGAGGACACAATATATTTGAACAGTCAGACAAAATTGCTGCGTTCAAGAAAAAGATTGCACTGTGGATAAATCACTTATCCAAAGACAGACTGGATATGTTTCCCAACTCTTGCCACGAAGCACAGCAGCTGGCTGTGTGGCAAAAAATGACTTGAAAAAAACTGTCAAGGCGCATCTCACCAAACTTCAAGCTCGGTTTGACGACTACTCCCCAGAGGAACATACAACCATTGACTGGATACATGATTCCTTCG